TTATTATAATGTTTTCTATTAACATAAACTACGGATAAATGTAGTATGGGACTAAATTAGTTATCACTAAAATTATAATGAAAATACTCTATGTCCGGGTCACAGACCACCGTCCACCAGATGGAAAGGACATCCAAGGGGCCAAGGATTCTGTACTTGGCCCGGTCGATATAATGATGTAACAAACTAGGAAAATTTAAAAAACTTGCGATGGAAACCATAATACCACCACCGATGGAAAAGTCACCGTGAAGTTTAATTTTTTGGGGCAGTATTTTCATTTCGAAGCCCAAATAGTTCGCAAGCATATCTTGCTCTCTTAGGTATAACCGTTTTGCTTTGCTGTAGATATATAAGTAATTTGATAAAGACACTTGTAACTACCAACGGTTTAAACGCGATATATAGTAGTTAAACTTATTTGAAAATTATTTTTAAAACTTCGGCCCGAGTTTCAGATGCAGCAGCCGTGATCACGGGGAGACTGAATTCGATGGAGGATGTCTAAACTTACGTCAAAATTAATTTTAATTCGGCCCGACTTGGGTTCTTGGCGCCGTCTGTGTCACGGACAGCCACTTCTACGGGACAAGCTTAAAATCCGTATTCTAATGCTTTTAATTGCTATAGAGGATTAAACCGTTAAACCCGTTTACTTAAACGAAGGTAGTTCATAAAAACCTCAATTCACCTGTACGTGTACAAATTTGTTTACAAAGAGCCAATGAACCGAACGGAACTCATTTCGCATCGTATTATCTGAGACGTAAATAACGTTTCGCGAAAAACATTTTCTATTTGCAATATGTTTAATACATTTTACGACTCATTCGTATCGCCCATACGAATGGCTCCTAACGAAACTTTATTTTCCAAACCGAGACACAGATGTGGAATAATTTTCAGATATGAAGATACGCGAAATGATTTTCTTTTATGCTCAGTGCACGAGTTATGCGGGGGAAATTATATTTAAGGCATTTATGGGGCCGCTTTTTAGGGAAATTATAGATATTCATAGTAATATTGTATATTAATATATCTGTAATATAAAAAAAATACTTTCATATGCAATTAAGTTCACACGCACATGTAACTTTTATATTTAGTAATAAGTCTTCTATATGTTTTCGTGTGCCTTATAGAGGCAGTGAATAAATGTATATCTTCTTTTTTCTATTTCTCTATCGTCAGGAATGGCTTATACATCTATACCTATATTACATATAAAGAAAACAGATTTGTATGTCTCTGTGTAAGTTTGTAATGAATAAACTACTCCGCTTAGTATCAATCTTTCCGAATATCCAAAGCCAAAACAGGTCGACACGCATCTTGTAGATGTTATAGGCCTGGGACATTTCTTCTACCATCAAGTGTACCCTAATTTAGCCTGTCCTCCTTTATTATAAAAAAATGGACATAATAGTCATAAAAGAATCGAGGCTTTTTCCTTTTATTTATTGAAATATTGAGGTTGTCGATTACCACTATTCGAATGAACTTGTAAACTCAAATTGCACAGAGCGAGCGACTACTGCACAGCACTACCTACTATTCCACGAAGCCATAATCCCTAAATGTAAATAAATAGACAATAATTATGAAGGTGAGATATTGGCGTGGTCAGTGAGTTTGCTCCACGGGCTTAGGGTCGGGATAGGATCAACAGTCAGCGGGATCTTTAAACAGCAAGTCATAATATTACCATAGACTTAACAAGCGCGACATACTTATTTTTATTTTTTAAATAAAACAATTTCAACGGTTTTAAACGCGGAATATATTAGTTAAAATTGTATTAACTACGGTCCGACGTTTTAGTTTAAAGCACTTTGATGAAGCATACGTAAATTTTATAATTAAAATACTTGCTTTTTTTGTGACGTTAATTTTTTTTAATGTAGGATACAATTACTGCCTTTCTTTAATTGTTTTTATGCTTGCTTCAGATGTAAGATACCTACTTACACATTCAAATTCAAATCAATCTAATAACAGACAATGAGACTTAACAACACACACAGAATTTATACAAAGATATAAGCAAATACATAAAGGGTTTACAATTATTACATACTCCTACTTTGCTGTGTGTGTGTGTGATGTTCCATAAAGAGGAAACACGTGTGTAAATTTTAAATAAACTACTAAACAACAAAAATAGGTCTACTAAATTCCTGTCTAGATCATCATAGTTCATAGTCCTACCTGTAGGAGCAGGTATTCACGCGAGGCGAATTTCCCGGAATCCGGCGATGATCCTTCGCATTCAGACATCATAGAGAAACTCCATTACTCTATATTCCCATTCTTAAACCTTATATCAATCCAATAAAATTAAAAATTGCTTAACACACCCAATCCGCCACTTACAATCTTTTCGGCACGTACAAGGCGCACGATAAGATTGATCGAGTGGGGCAAGGGGCCAGATTATCTGTGTAAATAAAAAAAATAGTGACTTGTCAAATTCGTCGCATTCTAAAAGTCCGATTTCGATCCACTATCGATCTTCAAATTGGTTTTTCGGAGCACAATCGGCCATGTTTTTTTCGGTGAGTTTCAAATTAACTTTAAATTTTATCATTTCACAGGATTAAGTAGATCGTCACTAGTTGATTAAACACGTTGTCTAGCATTGTGTTAAGTACGAGCTAACCAGGATTCATTTCCTGGGAAAAAGTCCATTTAACCATTATAAATAAAATGGATCACTGTAACGGACACAATATTGAGTTCGTTGTGCTTCAAAGGACAACGGTATTTCGTTAGCACGCTTTAAGTCCGTTAAATATAATAGTTTATGTAATGTTTGAGCTTACACGGACTACAATGGAGTTTAGAAGATAGGATAAGAAACATACTAATTAGTTATTTAATTGATTAAGTTTTCGAGATTATATAAAAATGTCTTTGAATAGAGTGATCTGTACAATAGTTACCGAACACTTGATTCAGCACCACGTGTTACATTAGTCTATTGATCAATATCGATGCTTTAGTAAGTTGTAATGAAATAATACAACACATAAGACTTATTACTTTATTTAAAATTAAGATTAACACATTAAATAAAAAAAATATTATGACATAATCTTAACAGTATAACAATGTTTAGTCTGCTGACTGTAGCTTACTGAAATTCAGTTTATTAGCGTTGCCACAAGCTAGTAAAAAAAACATCGGTACTGCGTACAAAACAATAATATCCAACAGTGCGTTAGTTTCAACATTAGATAAATTTGACAGTTACGAGACTCCCAGTGACCACGGCTACTGCAAAGCATCCGAAACGTCCGTATTTAAAATAATAAAACCAGTTTTACTTATATATTTCGCGTTTTAAATCGTTAAACTGTTTTATATAATTCTGTAACTACTGAGCTCGCGTAAACGACAGGACCTATAACTTTGACAGTTTTAAAATTAAACATCATATTCGCAACACTCGTCAATCATATATAAGAGATATAAAAGTAAATTAAATTAATATTATAAGACGACTATTAATCTCTATTCTCCAACTTATCAAGATAGCAAATATAGCACGAGGGGGTTCCTCCCAGCCTCCTCCCTCCTACAATTAGTTAAATGAAGGCCATAATATTATAATAATTATTATTTTAATTTTGTTTTATATCTACTGTTATTATATTCGGCAAATGTAGTAAAAAAGCGTGAATAAAAAAAATAACAACATTTTTAAACATAGGGCCGGGCCATAGTTAAAATAATATAATATATAATTTCCTACTATCTATAGTTTACGCGAGTAGTACACATTTAAATAAAACAGTTTAACGGTTTAAAACGCGATATAGTAGTTGAACTTGTGTGAAAATGATTTTTAACTTCGGCCGACGTTTCGTCTGTGTGTCTCCCCGTGACCACGGCTGCTGCAAAGCATCCGAAAAAATCCGAAAAGTTTAACTAATATATCGCGTTTTAAACCGTTAAAGTGTTTTATTTAAATAATTTCCTGTTGCCACTCCGGGTCGTGAAACTCGCACATTTCTGTATTAGTTTCACTGAACGCTTCGGATGCTTTGCAGGAGCCGTGGTCACAGAGGGGACGTACTGACCACAAGTTAACTAATATATTTCGCGTTTAAAACCATTAAAAGTGTTTTAGTGAAATTGTAATACTCGCTTAAACAGACAATGACTTATCTACTTATAGGAAATAAGAAGTAAATTAGAAGGAGAATCTCGATGATTTCTTAGTAATTTGCACCTCCACATTTCTCGCTGTTCACCCTATATAGAGTTTATTAGTATAATTTACTCCTTGCTACAAGGCTAGCTAACGAGATACCGAAATTAGAGAGTCGATTAGTTTTTACACACGATTCGATAACGTTCGTAATTTACCTGTTATTTAGGTCAAATGGTTATATGTAAAGAGTTCAATGACATATCGTTTCTTTATGATAGACAGACAGACAATATCTAAACAAGAAGCGCCCTCTAGCAATTTTGGCACTGGATATTGGACAGACACAGACCACAGACAGGAACGCGATTAAACTTCACTTTTTCATATTATGTGGACGGTGGTTCGTAAGCGTATGGAATTTCGAATTTCCTACCACCTATTTAATATCCAGGTTTCCAGACGTAGTCCAACATATTTTAGAAAAATTATAAATTGATAGAAACGTGTAGGAACCAAACACGGCGCGATCCGTTGTTTACTAGCGAGCATAGCATTGTACCATAAGACCAACGAGCAGTTTGGAAAACGCATAGTTCAATTTTTTTTTTGGGTTTTATGACACGGTGCGTACAACTCTTATCTTTAATAGCACATTCATAAACCATAATATTACGCCTATCAGCTCAATACATTAAATTGTTTTAATTGTATTCTTTATGTATGTGTGTAAGTTGTTCAAATCTTAAACGCAAGACCACAGACAATATGAAGATTACAGACTACACAATGCTCTCATAACGCATCAGTTTAAATATAGATTGATGGCGAGTGACGTCACCGTTTACCGTTGCTTATCTGTGACGAGTGCCGGATGAGCGTGCCGCGTCTCCCACAGATAACGGCACAATGCCATCGGCCAAGTGTGAGCCGCGCGAGCCATCGACCGGTGGGCGTGGCCGCAACCCGCCCCGCCGGCTCCGCGTTTAATCTGCGCGGATATGGATAAACCTAACCCGGGTAGACGGGCATTGGAGGAGGTTTTAGCGAATGTCGACGCCTAGCGAACACTATTGGGCTTCGGATATCGCGGATTAGGATATGTACTTTATGTAATCCGTTTTCAGATTGGATTTTCAGGAGGCGACGTTCTGTACATGCGCGAGCAACTGACCAGATCAGTTGCTCGGAACAAGGGAGACGTATTCAGTGGTAATATCAACTCTTTTACTCCCTTGTTTTGAGAACTGCTAGTCATTTTAAATTTTGAATTTAATTGTTCGTAAATTGTGAAATTCCCGTATTGGGCCATAGGGCGAACATATTTCTGTTACATTTCACTGGTGGATTTTATTTACAGACAAGTGGATTTTCAGGCTTCTATGAAAAAAAAAGGAAATTTTTGCACGTGGATCCCGTAATCCGAGCCCAGGATTTCTTGGGCTTTACGCAATACTACACGTTAAACAATTAATGTTTCGTTCTACTATTTGTACAAATTTTATATTGTATACTTTTTTCTAATTTTAAATATGTACCTACCTACTTAACTTTCAGTTAACATTTATTGGATCAAAATTAGTCAAAATGTATGTTAAGTTTTTTTTTATTAAAGTAAAAATATTATTTTGCTGGTAATTTCTGAACATTTCCATTCGATTACTGTACCCTAATAAGATTAACTTTTTTAGCTAATAAGGAATCTTAAAATATTGTATCGCAAATAATCAAGGGTTATATATTATATATATATATATTTTAGCCATAATTCAGTACAATTTATACATACGTTTATATGACAAGCCAAGTTTTAAAGCAAACACAAAAATGTAAAATTGTCCTATGATCAGGAAGTAACTTTTTTCCGGCGCCTACTTAGATAAAAGTAAGTAGGTATAATAACTAGCTGTGCTAGCGAGGCTGCGGTATGAATATCTTTACTTATAAGCTGAACGGGGTCTTAAAATTATTAGACATGTAGTGTTTTTTCGATCATTTAAAGAGCTCTCTATTTAACTCTTTTAAACATAATTTTTTGGTATCTTGAATCTAACCGACACAAAAAAATTTTTCAATTCGACCCAGTAGTTCCTGAGATTAGCGCGCAAACAAACTCTTCAGTTTTATATATATTAGTATAGACATGGATAAAATTATAAACTCCAACATTTTGTATTACCACATTAAAACCTATATCCATACTTTAATTTACAATCAATATGTAAATTAGAATTCAAGGCTTTTTATGAAAATCGTTTTATTCTGTAGTTATAATTGTTTGTCAATAGCAAGTGGAAATTACGCAACATTTTATCTTCAGGATGATCTAATTAACACTAACAATGGAAAAACTTTTGTCTCACCGCATAAGTTCGTATTAAGTCACGTTTTCCATGTATTGACAGAGAGCCAAGTCCGAACCGGTATTCTGATCTGAAAATAAGAATTAATTTTAACATCATCTTTAGTTTTTGTGTAAGGTTGTGAAAATCACACCTTAACTGCATTTGTAGTTCATGTGGAACGCTTTATAACACACGAAACTAATAACAACAAATTTAATATTGGTCGCGTAAACCATAAAAAAAATGACAGCCCATTTTCCCTCGTGGGGCATGGGGCGAACAAATTTCTGTGTCCGTATCAATGATCGGTTCTATGAACGGGCAATTAATTGATAAGACTTCTGTGCCCTGCCTAACCGAAACAATTTTATGTTTCCCTGGGATTCGAATCCAAGGTCTCTCGCACTACGAATCTAGGCAATATTAATTAATTTCGCAAAAGGGGGGGCCCTTTTTTTAAACCAACCGGTTTTAAACCATTAAATAGTGTCTAATTTAAAGTTGTAAAGCTACATAACGCAGAATCACTAGCGAATGTAAATATTTTGTTCGTATTTCGTGTTGTTTGTTTATCATTATTGTTGAATTGTATTTTATTATGATCGTGTTAAGTAGAATTTTTTAAGGTTTTCCTTGATTTTAGGTACGAAGCGTACAATCGCATAGCTAATGTAATGTACATTATATTAGATTATTTATTTACATATAAACGAGCAAAAAATGAAAGCTTGTTATTTCACATCGACACTTCTACTAAGTATTGTCTGTAGTTAACGCGAGTAGTACACATTAAAATAAAACGCGTTTACCGGTTTAAAACCCGAAATATATCACTTATCGTTCGCTCATTCTCAATTTATTTTAGCTACGCCCCGAGGTTTCAGATGCTTTGCGCCAACTATGGTTACCGGGGGACACATTCCCTAGTGACTTATATTTATCGCGTTTTAAACCGCTTAAATAGTTTTATTTTATCTTCAAATTCGTAACCATGATCCCTCAGTTCACGAGCTTAACCATTGATCTACAGCTAATATTATGACAAAATCTCCAACTCTTAAGGAACCCTAACATGACGTCACTAATTCATGACATTGTCAAAAATAGTCTCGCTAAAACACACGTTGCGTACTAGGTGTTAATTGGTAACAGTTAGATACGTATAGAAACAACACACTTGTTTCAGATTGACGTATCATAATCGTGACTTAGAGTTTTACTGTGTCTTTAATATAAGTAAATTCATAATAGTGAAAAATTATCTGATAACACATACTAATTGGTATGATGTAAACCTCGCGTGAATTAAAGGCATATTCACAATTGTCTCCTTGGTGTAATGGTAGCCATGCGTGGCTTATAATCAAGGTGTCAAGGTTTACTCTTCACTGAACTTGACTCTAATCAATCTAGGTTTATTGAAAGGTGATGGACGTTGTCAGCATAATCTGGATATTAAATGGGTGGTCGCTTTAGTTAAAGTATTCGTAAATTTATGCCTAAATACTGTCTATAGTTTAGCACTAGTACACATTTAAATAAAACACTTTTAACGGTTTAAAACGCGATATATTAGTTAAACTTATTTGAAAATGATTTTAACTTCCCCGACTTTCGCCAGGAGCGGTGGTCTGTCTCCCCGTTAAAAGTTTAAAATGTTTTATTTAAATTTAATCCCTTTTTCGTCTGTGAAGTTCCAAACTGTTAAGGTAAGATAGGTCGATCGCGCATCTAAGTGTTGTAAGGTTGTAATCTACCTTCTATCATGAGAATCCCATGTTCGTCATCCTAAAACGAATAGTTATATTGCGTTTTCCTCGGGATATTTATATATCTATATAGATAAGGATATTATTCCTGTTTGATCTGATTATAGTTATCTTACGGATAAGACTACAATATATATTTTTTTATAAATGATTAGAGTTAACTATATTTTTTTACTTCTGGAGTAACAAAGGAGTATTACTATTGTTTTCATAAGGTTTGCGTCAATTGTGAACATCAAAGTAATACGGACATAATAAGCAATTACACTTGTAAATGTAGTTAATATATAGTAAAATGTATAATATGTTAAAAATAAGTATATTTCGCGTTCTAAACCGTCAAAATAGTTAAATTTTAAATACACGCGTTAAACTACTTATTACGTTGCCATCTCTTAATAATGCGTTATATCTGAATTATGTAATTATTTTTTTTGCAACTATTTTTACAAAAATATAAATTTCTAAATGCTGCAACACGGGCCTTAGTTAAAATTAATTGTTAGTTAGTTAAGTATAATATTTCGCGTTTGAAACCGTTAAGAGTATTTTATTAAGTACGTAAGCTACAGACAATAAGTTAGTTTGCCAGTTATACGTATAACATGTAAATATATTAAAGAAGCTAGATCCGTCTTTACTCTTGAACAAAAGTGCTTCGATCTACGTGACTTAATTATGCCTTGCATATGCATATGCGATCCGTGTTCCCTTGATAAGATCGCTTCTATTAGGTTTACAGGATGTATGGCGAGCTGCACACATGTTTTGGCCTGCATATTTGGCTTGCTTTACTTCGATTACACGTAGAGAGAAAGGATTCTAGTTCACTACGCTGTTCCGATTCTGGTTGGTGTGCTTAACGTACCATCACTTATTAAGCGGCAATGAGGACCTAACGTTATGGGGATCTCCGAGTTATGAGAATAATGACATAATTCCAAAAAATCGTAGATACTCATTTTGGATTATTCAAACCCAGGACTTCGTGAACTGGAGTGAGTTTATAATACCTGTGGTATTGAGAATTTTATTATTTTTTACATGTTATTGCACATGAAGGCACTATATAATTTAAAAATCGAAAATAAATTGAAAACATTTTCGACTCGGGGGGGGGGGGGGGAGGGGGGAAAAAAAAAAAAAAAAAAAAAAAAATTAAAAAAAAAAAAAAAAAAAAAGGGGCCCCAGGAGGAAAAAAAAAAAAAAAAAAAAAGAAAAAAAAAAAAAAAAAAAAAAAAAAAGGGGGGCCGGCATGGAACCCCCCCGCAGGCTCCCCGGGCGGTGCCCCAACAAATGGGGCTATGGGGGCGGGGAAAGATGATGAGAATTTAACAAGCGAAAATAAGTAAAATTCGGTAGGACTTGAACCGGCATCGAAAAAAAAAATAAAAAAAATAAATTTTTTAAAATGAAAAAGAAAAAACAATTCAGCGTAACTAAACGTTATTTATTACAAATGGGACATTTATTACAGATATATGTCAAAAAATAAATTAAAAAAATAAATTAAAAAAAAAAAAAAAAAAAAAAAAAAAAAAAAAAAAAAAAAAAAAAAAAAAAAAAAAAAAAAATTTTTTTTTTTTTTTTTTTTTCCAGAAAACCCCCCCCCCCCCCCCCCCCAAGCCCGCCCCCCCCTTTTTTTTTAAAAAAAAAAAAAAAAAAGGGGGATTTTTTTAAAAAATTTTTGTCTAAAAGTAAACAAAAATAGATTTTCGATTAAACACATTTACGACACGGGCAGATCTTATCCATCATATCATTACTATGCCATCATGTGCAAAACATATAAAAAATATTAGGCTTTCAAATGTCTAGAGACTATCCCGTTTGTCCGCAGGAGACTCTAATCCTTCTTCATCGTCTGTGTTTAAGTTGCACTAATAATAAAACCGTGCGCTAGTTCCCATTATCTACAAGAGCCTACCCGAGCTACAATTTCATTGTTTTATCCGGGCCGGGTAACAAAGAATGCCGGTCGATATAAAGCGACCTACTTGTGTTCCGCGAACCAACAGTATTCTATTATGTAGACGCCACTTGTAAACGATTTACGATTCGTTTTTGTAAGATAAGCTTACAGATTAAAAAACTAATCTTGTTATAAACGCTTTCTGTTGATTACGCGAATAGGAGACATAAAA